AGGAAAATCCTCATGTGGTGTGTCTAACCGCCAACATGGACATTGGGTCTCTTCACAGTCTTTGGAACTTATAGATGCTCGCCGGCATATTCCGGCTGGAAGCGAACACAACGAAACTCGCAAAGAGCTCCGGGCAAAACTCCGTGCTAGCCTGAGGAGAGACCCCGAAACTTGGTGGTCTCATCGTGCAACAGAGATGGAAATGGCGGCTGCCCTTGGTAACCATCGTAAGTTATTCCGTCTGATACGGGAAACGGGCAGCAGGAGACCTGGTGTTAGTGAAACTATACGTGACGAGAGTGGACAGCCTATCCACAACTTATCAAAACGCTTAGAGCATTGGGCTGAGCACTTTAAAAGGCAATTTAATCGGTCGGAATGGTTAGGTTTCTCATCGGCCACTGATCGCCCCATTGCTTGGGCTGTCCCTTTGGATCCACCCTCTCGCTCAGAAGTCGAACGTGAGATCGGACTGTTGAAGTTAAATAAAGCCGCGGGACCAGATGATCATCCTCCAGTCCTCTTCAAATTCAAGGGACCTGCCCTTATGGATGATTTACGCGAGTTACTTATCAAACTGTGGGAGAAGGAAACTGTCCCAATCGATTGGAGCCGCTCCGTCATAGTCCTAATTTTCAAGGGAAGCTCACGATCGGAATGCGGCAGCCATAGAGGAATCAGTCTGCTCTCCATCGCCTCCAAATTGTTTGCCTCTGTCATTCTTCACAGACTGACTGGCACTCGTGAAAGCCAGATTCGTGAAGAGCAAGCTGGATTTCGTCGAGCTCGTGGCTGCATTGACCACATCTTCACCTTGCGTCAGTTGTTGGAGCGCCGTCACTTATATTGGCGGCCCACCATTGTCGTGTTCCTCGATATCAAAGGTGCATTCGATTCGGTGGAGAGACATGCACTTTGGCACGGTCTACTCAGGAGAGGTGTGCCCGAGAAATATGTGAATATTTTCCGACCATTATATGCGCGTAGCTCGAGCAGAATGAGGGCTTACGGCAAGTTGTCGTCGCCCTTTAATATCTCCAGCGGTATGAGACAAGGATGCCCGCTGTCACCTTTCCTCTTTAACTTCGCCATTGACGAAGTCATGGAAATCGCGTTTACAGGACACGACTTAGAAGGTTTTGAGCTACTCCCAGGAGAACGACTTCTTGACTTAGAGTATGCTGATAATATTGCCCTAATCTCTGACAGCTCACAAATGTGCCAAGCGGAACTGGACAGATTAGCACTAGCTGTTCGTCACTTCGGGCTTTGCTTCGCACCCTCGAAGTGCAAAGGGTTCCTCCAAGATTGGTCTCAACCGCCCCCTACGCTGACCCTTGGTGGGGATCAGCTTGAAGTCGTTCAAAAATTCAACTACATGGGAAGTTGTATCAGCGCCCGTGGGATTGAAGATGAGATCACAAACCGTATAGAAAAAGCTTGGGGCGCTTTTGCTAACCTTCGCCACTTATGGCGCCGGCGCGACATCACTCTTGCCCTGAAGGGTAAAGTGTACAATGCAGCGGTACGTTCAAATTGCTGTACGGTTGTGAAACCTGGCCGCTTAAAGCAGCAGACCTGAGGAGGCTAGTTACGTTCGACCACCGGTGCGTTCGCAATTTAGCTCACATCTGGTGGGAACACCGCGTGAGCAAAGAGCGTGTTCGACGCCTTGTTTACGGCACAGGAAGAGGAAATGAACCGCTCAGCACCGTTATTTCACGCAACAGGCTCCGATGGCTCGGTCACGTGTTACGCATGCCAGCCCACCGACTCCCGCCACGTGCGTTGTTTGCGCGCTGGCGGTGTGGATGGAAGAAGAGCAGGGGTGGCCAAGCGATGACTTGGTCCAAAGGGATGAAGGCCCTCACTTCTGTGCTGGCTTCAGTTGGAACGTCTCGGCTCCCTGGTTGGGGTCCGAAAGACGATGAACACGTTTGGTTGGACACACTTGCTGACATGGCTAGGAGCCGACCTCAGTGGCGTTCGTGCTGTGGGTTTCTTTGTCCCACCCCATATCTATTAGCTTCCCCCTCCAACCACGATCTCATTATTTAACCTTATATAATTATGCATAGTAATTTTTTTTGATGCATAGTAGTCGGCTGGTAGATTACCGGAACGATGCCCATCCGTTACCGGTAGCTCAGCCGGCTTGCCCCAGTTTAATTCTTTTTTTCTCCTTTTTTCTGTGTATTGCGGCACAGTAGCTGAGGTGTTCCCCACCTCTAGCTAACGTGTATGATGATGATGATGACAATGTAGCCATGCACGTAACGAGGCAATAAATGAGGCAGGTGAACTGCAGTCATATTATTAGTTAGAAACAGGCTGGCTATTATCTAGCGAGTAGCGTGTGTCCGGATACCAATGAGTATTAGAATGCAATTCCAGTGATAATATACGTGATGGCTATTGCAAACTTTAGCGGTTTATGCTTACCGAAGTGGAACGCAAGTTGTGCACTGCCAGAGCAATTTGCAAATGCACAGAGCGTGAAACGCTGACGATTATTGTACGTGAACCGAACATTTTCTTACTATCGAAGATTTCGTATAAATAGGCAAAGACCTCTGACATTGCCTTTCCAGAAAGGAAAGAAAAACACAAAATTCAAGGCGAGATCGTAACTTGACTGTATTGTTCAAGAATGCTAGTCGTTAATTAGGTGAAATAGACTGTAATCTATCGACGAAGACGCTTCGTTTTTATGTGATGATTAGTTTCTTAGCAAATATTTGTACTATAGTTACGTAGGCCCCATATTTTGAGATGTCTGTCACGACTAGGCATCTTTTATTACACACTCTCCCGAAGTAAATTGAAAAACATGTCCATTGTTTGCAGTTCCCAGAACCACGTACTCTTTGTGAACGCGTCTCAATAGCATGTATGGATAATACCTTCCAAGCGAAACTGTCACTAAAAGTTTTCAAGGAAAGCATTAGGAAAGAATAGTGGTGGTACCCAGAAGAATCATTGCCACACAGTACCAGCACCCACTGCGTTAATTCGACGTTGCCTGACCCAACTTACATTCATACGATTCATTATGTGCTTACTTAGGTAAAGAAACATAGTGGTTACGAAGAATACTTTATTCAGTAATTCCTTCCAGGCAAATAACAAAGCTAAACGTAACAATTCAGCAAAAGCTGCGAATGCTATTGGTTGAGTCAGTAGAGTCGATTGATCAGTTGGTCGATCCAGTCAGGTGTAGATGTCATGAGACGTGTGAGCATTCACACACGTACAAAGCAAGGAGGTTTCGGCAAATGTGGCGCGGTCACTGTCTGATGCAAAAGGAGTTGCGTTACGGCCACAGCAAAAAGAGAGCTTCACTAGTGTTCGTCGTTCCACAACGGAGACTATACTCGTCTGATTGCAATGGCCTCAGCGGTGGCCAACAAGCGTATTTTGAGTCATTTGGATGTAAGTTTCCTGCTGTGTGGACTACTATGAATGCGTCTTCAGTTCGAAGCTGATATCCAGTACTAAACAGATGTCCGGGGATAGAGTTTCGCATATTCATAACCGCGCCATTTCGCAGACAGGCTGGGCATTGCTACCCTATCCGCCTAGATAGATTCCTGGTCCAGTGCCCGAGGTATCATGCACCACAGGTGCAGACGAAATGATACAATGATACAATAGATTGGAACCAAACCGGGACCCTGTCTCAAAGGCTGTGTTTGATAGGCTGAATGATTTTGGCAATAATATGAGCACAACCGGCTGCATATGTTTGGTTCACTGCCACTAACAGTGATAGTCACCTATTCCGCCATTCGTGCACAAGCATGTCTGCTTGATGGAAGAGACCGCATTTCAAATGCTCTCATTCGCTCTTCAACGAAGTCGCCTAATTTGTATGTATTACACTCGCTACGTTTCATTTTGTACATGGGCTGGCTTCCTGGCACTTGTCGATCTGATATAGCAAAAAGACCTTGTTGAACACCCCTCGGTGAATTAAGACACATTTATTCACGCATATGAAAGTTTAATGTGGGTGAATGTGTAGCACATACTCGTCTTTATTGGCGCAAACAATTGCGTCATCCGCTGGCAAAATCCACCCACCCCCGATGTACGAGCATAGGCGGCCGTGACAGTATTAAACAAGACGCATCGGCCACGGTCTATGTGTACTGCACCAACTACAGTGCCGGGACCGCATACGCTTTTGCTCATCTTGTATTTATGGGCGGAATTTGATACCGCGGTTCAGCGAAGGAAAATATTCATTTGGTTGAGAAAGAACCCTTTCCAGAGTGACTTGTGACATGTTCCTCACATCGTGTGTTCTGCAGCGACAGCGCTCGAATAAAAATAAATGTGCCGCCCAACACCTCCAAAGATACCGGGCTACCCGTGGGAACGTTGACATGCTAGTTAAACGTTTGCACAAACGGAAAGAAGAGGAATGAGTAACGATGAGAACAAAATTGGTACACTCTTAGCTAGTTGATGGATCACTCGCTCGTGCACCATTACCGAAGCTCAAATATGCCTGTTTTGTCGGCAGTTAGTCGCCGGGTCAGTCTGACTGTTTGGATTAACCACTGTCAACACCTTGGAGCAGCGAGCGTCTCCGTCTCCTTTTTCATCCAGTTGACGATGCGGCTGCGGTACATTATGGTCATGGTGCGGATGACTTAATTCCAAGGTGTTCCGTTTTCTAAGCATTCAACCTCCCCCAGAGGAAGCTGGTCATTCAGCCAATGGTTTTCCCGACCACCGCACACGATAACCGATGTGACCGCCATGTACGTATGGTATGTGTGCGCCAATCAACTCTTTCCTCAGCTACTTCAGTGGTTGCTGCGGTTGTGGTTCGTCCACCGCCTGTATGTACGCACGCATGCGCGCGCACTAGCGCACATAGGCAATCACTGTTTTTCCTTGACCACGTAGAGAAATGCGGAGACACGGGTGTGCAACACGGCCTCCCTGCCCCCACGTGGTCTCACCACTAACTTGTTCAACCACTAAAACAAGTCACTGTCGCTTGATGTGCGTTAGTCAATTGAGGAATGAACGGCGATCCGCTAACCAACTACGTGACAGTAAACGGTGGTTATTGTCATCTAAGAGTAGCGCCTCTCGTTTGAGGTCTTGATCAGCCACAGTTGGGAATATCCTGTTTGTGTGGGCAGTTTATAAAAGTCACAATTCCTGTGAAAGTTAATTAGATCGGATCAGTATTCGGGGCATCGCGAGGGATTCCGAAACGAAGTGCCTCCGCTACCTCGCCAACCACCACTGGTTCAAGAACACACAAACCATGTCAGACATTTTACTCGCCGAGTACACCTTGAAACGTGCACTTCGCGAACACACCTCAGATCTGGTGCTCACCAGTTGTCCCCACGTGTTATGCACCCCGCTACCGAAACACTGGAGGTCAAATAAATCTCTTCCGAACCAATTTCGTGTGGTCACTTTGTTGGATGTGCACGATGGAACTCGAGTCTCAGTTACCGCATGGAATGAGGAACATCCGAGTGCGGAATTGAAAAATCCCATCACCGTCATGCATGCGAATGAGGGCCGGTTCAGTGACCTCCGATTCCTGGGACGGAGTGGTCGGGGTAAGTGAAACAATGTCTTTCATACTGATAACAGTGGTTATTGAGGTCCAAAGAGTGCATTTTATTTTGGGCTAGCTCTGTACAATGGTCCACTGAAAGACGGGATAGATGAGCTTGTCTAATTATGGTGGACATTGCTAGAAACCACTAGCGTACCAAGTGCGTATTCGTGCAAGGGAGAACTGCGTTAATTTTCTCTAATTTTTATATGAAAACTGGGAAGTGTGGGACAGTCCCTGGGTCCTTTCCTATCCTGTTGACCTTGTAGTTACCAAAGAGGTTTAACAAATAGTCTGCGGCCACCATGGATAAAGCGAAATGATCAAGGGATGAAAACCGATATTTTGCTCAACGTAATTTCAAAAGAGCTACAGATGTGTCTCCTGCTATGACAGTCATTTCGGTCAAACATGTCCGTGTTCCACCGTTTAAATCCTGAACACCAATTTCATGAGCATGCCTATAGAGTCGCGCCTGGAAGATTACGAGAATATAGTTTCTTACTTATCATTGCTTCGCCTTCTATGAGTTCCTTGTCATTCTGTTAATTCTTGGTGATAGCTGCAGCCAGTAGTTATGCTCTTTAAGCTCACAGAATCCCACATCGACAATGAGCTGACTGCTGACTGTCCCAGTCGCTACTCGGTAAAGGCCTAGAAATCCAATGGCATGGATGGATACTACTGCACACCGTTGAGTAGACTAGAGAAAAGCACCAAACGTGTGAAATGCACATGAACCAATTATGTTATCACTATTCTCTGGGCTTTCCAAATGTTAATGAACGAAAGCGTTCAATATTGCGGTGGAATGAAACTTCACATCTACCACTGGTTCTAACCTGCATGTAAAAAATCGCACTTAACGACTACAGCTGTTATTAGTTAGACAATAAACTACATGAATTAAGATGCAGGGTAAACTGGCCATTGAATAAGCTGGATGGCTTAATCTGTGTGCGTTTACCTTATCAAAATAGTCACATCCACCTTTAGTTAAAACTGTCATATTGGAACGCAGAAACAAGTGTTGCAGCTGGGATCAATCCAGTATATGTTGGGTGGTGTAGTCCGTAATGTTACGATTGTTTTGTTAGCCTACGAGTGGACGTATTGTAATGACCCGAGGTTCGAGCGGAGTTGTTCCTCGTGACAGACATAATGAACCACATGTATCAGCCGTGATCCATAAAAGTTCCACCAACCTACAGACTTTTCCTATAGGTTCCGTGGCGCGCACTGCTACCGTGTCTACTCCTAGTGCGCATAGTTTTGCGGCTCCCTAGCGTCTCACTTCTCTTGGGGTCTTGATATAGTCCGCTTTTTGCCCCTTATCGTTTCGTTTTCTTTGCAATTCTTTACTACTGACACTTGGCGCAATGCTAACTGTCTTTGGTCCAACACAATTTGAATTATGTTTACTGTTATCGTCTGCAGTCTCACTCGTTACCGTCGCATGAGATTGTCAACAAAGCTACGACCGTGGGAGATTTGTGAGGGTTCACGGAACTGCGGCTTATGAGGGATGGAGGTTCTCCGGAACCATCGTTACTACGGCAAATTTGTATGCTCAAGCACCGCTTGTACTTCGAGTGCAAAGATCCAAACAGATCTGGGTCACAGCGCAGTATGCTTCCAAAGGATGCGATCTTACCAATAATGCCCACCGTTTCATCTGCCCCATATGATGCGCACAGACAGCCACAGCAAATAATGAAGAGTTGAGGTATCACGTTTTACTAATCAGCAACTACACTGACATGCGCTTAAGTCATCAATTGTGTCTAACTGAATGTGAAGGCAAACGGATGCAGCGGTAAGTTTTCGTGCGAGAACATGAACATCTTCGCCCCTTTCCCCTTGAATTGTCAGAAGCCAATGATGCGAAATTCACAGCGGCCCAAATCTACACGCTCAAGTACAATAGGCATTGTTCACTGTGGAGACGTGGTCCGTTAATCACACACAGAATGTGGCTGAGTGTCCACCGGTGTAGCACACTTCTTCCGTCAAAATGCAACGCTTTTCAGGAAGTGCGGGACGTCTGGCCCCGTGCCTCGGCATTCTCATGGTAAACAATGTCCGAGGACATGTTCTGTTGCCCATCTTTTACCTTTGGGCAGATCAAAGTGTGTTGAATGCCTATTCAAATCGTCACTCAGCTGTTGAGTACATGCCAAATGTGAAAGATCATGGAATATGCAGATCGGTGCACAAACTGCATTAATGCGTAAACTTACGAAACGTTTCAAGCAACAAAGGGTAAGCTGGTCTTATGTCACATCCTACCAACACCGCTTCCTGGACACTTCGGCCTAAGATACCCGAGGTTGTGCAACCCCCTCGTGGATGTACCCATGTTTATTCGCACAAACTGCCGACTGGAAACATCGTCGTATGTGCCACTGTGCTTTATAAGGTGCAGCGCGTGGGATTCAGCAGACAACTACGAGTAATCAGAAGCAGGATGGATAAATGAGAGTACAGGGTGATTTTCGTATCTGATGGCGGACCAAGGGAGGAGGTGGAAAGCAGTTATTGTTCTATCATTAACAGATAATTGCTTCCGTACCACCCGCAAACAGGTAGACTTTCAAATTCTACGACTCAACGTCTACGGTGCTAGAAACACCTACCACCCTGTTGTGTATTGTGGGCCACCTCGTAGGCAACAAATGATCACAACCATCCTATCAACTCATTTTCTACTAAATACAATCCAAAAGCAGCTGTCAGGTCTTGTCCGATATTGACACAGACAAGTTCTTCGACTAATGTGTGCTGGACACATTTCCCCACGGGGTCTCATAAAACAATGTTCTGTCTGCATCCGTTTCAGGCATTACCTTGCAGGCCCAGATGCACCGCTGAATGTGCCAACAATTGGGTGTTGATTTAGTTCATGTAGCCTGCTAGAGCTTGGAGAAATCATCGAGCTTAATTTACCCCACCCACATCATGGGAGTAAAACAGTACTGTGACGATGATCAAATTAAACATGCGATTCTGACTCGCCCTCAATGACAAATCTAAGGATATTTCAGTGGAAATACACATTTACTTGTACGGAGTTACTCCAATTGGTGGTCCTGTGGCATTGATAAACAGCGTCAGCCGCTTCGAGATTTCATCCTCAAAGCACTGCCCCTTATACCGACGTGCTTTACAGACGGTAGATCGGTAAAGACAGATGATTCATGGTGGTCTGTCCTCCACACCGAATGGGTGCATCAAACGTAAGGGGACATGTGCACACTTATATGCACACACATGCCCCCGTGGGGGAAAATATCAGGTCGTTAGTTTGGAATCAGCCGCTTCGCAGACAGCCACCTTGAGACTGGATACAAATAGCGATCAAAAATTTCGTTTTTCTCGGCGTCAGATCAGCTTGTAAGCTAACAAACCCCAAGCATTTGCGTGTCCGTGTGTGCAGACGCTAGAAAATGTACAGTACATGTAGGAAGATGGAACTGGACACGAGAGCCAAGTTGCGTACTTTGTTGGTGCTCGACGGCAGCCAGACGGATTACCCGCTGGTTGATGTTAGTTTGTTGGGTAGAGGAATGGGGAGAATTCATTTAGTCCTAGCAACGTATTAGAGCTAAATGGATTTCGCTAATCATCGGTGGCACCTATTGAAAGATCCCGGTTATCTACTCCGTGAGAAACCCAACCACTCGATAATTCGAGGCTCGCTAAGTACCCATCTGAATTGATAAGGACTCACACTTTCAGTGTACTCGCTAATACTCACCTTGGCCGCTCCCAACTAAAATAGTCCTTTGTAATAGGAGTTCTAAGACAACTGGGTGAAGAACAGTGCGACGGACTGACCTTGAAATGTTGGGTTTCAAGCCAGAATTCGGCTATCTGGGGGCATAATTTTAGCCGCATATGTCCCGGAAACTCGTCAGCGTTTTATAGGTTGTACGGTCAGAAAACTATCGATAAGGATTAGTGAACTCCTTGACATGAAAAGTATATTAAAATATGAGCGCTTATGAGATTGAGGGGGCTGACAACTGGCGATCTTTTACAGCGAAATTTGCTGTTCCCGATGGATACATCAGTAATAATGTCTGTACCAACAAACATTCATGCAAATCGACATGTATGACCGAGCTACTGATGGTGAGCTTCATGCGGATATGCAGGCTAGTTGGCAACTATATGAAGAGTGCTCAAAAAGTAACAGAAATTTGCCATAACGTCTCTTTTGCTCGTTGCACAACATTTAAGAACTTTCCCTCTCAAACTGGTCCCCACTATTTGCAATACACTCTTCCTAACGATGCTTCCATTTTGAGATGCCTTCTGGTACGCACTTTCTGGGATGGTGCGCAGGTCACTTGTCGCATTGTCTTGAATCTCCCCTGTGGTTTGGAAACGGCGTCCTTTCAACGTGGTTTTAAGTTTGGGAAACAGAAAAAGTCTGCAGGGGCTAGGTCCGGAGAATACGGTGGATGAGGCACAACGGGAGTGTGATGTTTTGCTAGATAGCTGAGGACAAGGAGCGATGCGTTAGCCGGCGCATTGTCATGATGCAACATCCAAATCTGGTTTTGCTACAGTTCAGACCTCTTCCTGCGCATATCATCCCTCAAACGCGCTAGAAGTCGATGGCATGATCCTGCGCTGATGCCCACGTCGTCAGCAACTTCTCGAAGAGTGAACTGGTGATCTCCACCGATGACAGCACGGACGTTATCGACATGGTCATCGTTTGTTGATGTGGAAGGTCGTCCACGCTTGGGACTGTCACTGACTGATATTCTGCCGTGTTCGTAACACTTAAACCACTTATAGTAATGCGTTCTACTCCTACAGCTCTCCCCGTATGCTTGGATAAGCAATTGAAATGTCTCTGTAAAAGCTTTGCCAAGTTGGTAGCAAAATTTCACGCACACACTCATGCGTTGTTCTTCAAGCTCCATCATTGTCTCATTGAAACTAATCCCACGAACAGCTTGTACACGTGCTCACTTCAGCTTTTGTAGC